AGAATCCCCTCCCTTGCCCTGCTGCCCACACTCCTGTGGATGCAGCCCAGGATTCCATTGGTTTCTGGGCTGAGCTCACACTGCAGCTCATGATGAGCTTCTCATCCACTCTCACTCCCAAGTCTTTCTCTTCACTAACAATCCTCTATTTAAATATAACAGAATTATAATTCATAATAAATATTATCTTTTCTACAACATTTGTGTACATAACAAAAGCAAGTTTGCAGCTGGTTTTCACTAGTGCTATCCAGAAACAAACCTCCACTCCAAACTTAAGTCACAGCAGTAATCTTTTGCCTCTAGATATATTAAGCCTTTTACACTGCACTGCTTTACTTTGCAAGTAAAGACACATACTCAAGGACTCCTTCTTTTAGTCCTTATGTGACTTTTCCTTCACTGCCATCTGCAACTTACTTTTCTGATGTTGCTCTGCTGACTACTAATGAGGTTGAGATGATGTTTGGCTGCTGTTTGCAGCCACCTGCTTTGATAGATCCTCAGCACTCAAAGCAAAGATGCTGCAGAGCAGGAGAGTTGGGGCTCTGTAATTATCCACTGTTATTTTTACTTACTCAGAGTCTGTTTGTTTTGTTGCTTTTTTAAAATTGCAAAATTAACTTATATTTTCAACATGAAAATCTTTCTACTATAGATGGAGTTACATATGACTCATTTCTCACTTTCCCTTAGGGATTTAAAAGACATGTAGATGTGGCACTTGGGGACAAGGTTTAGTGGTGGATTTGGCAGTGCTGAGTTAACAGCTGAACTCGATGCTCTTAAAGGTCTTCTCCAAGCTAAATAATTCTATGGTTCTTTGTATTTCAAAGGTGACTGAAGATATGATTGGGTGTAACTGCTGGCAATTGTCTGAGCATGTTCCACTCTTCCTTTTCAGGTCACTCTGTGACTGCCTCAACACTAAGTCTGTCCCCAAGGCTCCCCAAAGTGCCCTTTGCCTCTTGGACAGGAGACTCATCTGCTCTTTCTGCTGATTTCAAGTATTTTCTTTACATTTTATCTGGATTTTGAAGACTCCATGTTGATAATGTATGCACGTCTAGCACAATTTTTCTCAGGTTTAAGCTGTTTTCTCTCAAGGAATTGCTTACAGGCTAGAGAAATGTTGTTACAGCTTTGCCCAGGTTAATACACCTGAGTATTTCACTTCTCTGTTTTCCCACAGCTTTTAAAGTAATGTTGTAAAAATGTATGTTTTATGATTAGAATTTTTCTGGCTATTTTTTCAGCGACACACTTTCATTTAACTGATAAATCGTGTGTGAGTTTATAGCCACCTGTTATAAAAGACAGCCATGCCTGGTTTTAGATATGATAGATAACCCACACTCCTCTGCTGCAATGCTATGTCAAAGCCTGAGCTGCTATAAAGCATGAAGCATCTGAAATGCTTCAGAATAAAAGGAAAAAATAAAGAGAAAAGATGCAAAATTTAAAGAAAATGAAGCATTTGCCTCATGTACCTTCTAAGTTTGCAACATAAGCTTCAAGAACAATGAGCTGAAACATTTTTATTTCACATATTCCTTCTCTGTTTTCCTGTTTTTTCATCCTGAGCTGTGCATTTATAACCCTTAACTTTTTGTGTGTTTCTTTTTTTCCTTCCCTTCTAAATAAAAAATTTCATGAGTAGTTTAATAGACCATAAATTGAAGCTGTGAAAGTGTGAAGACACAGCCCCTAATTCTGTCCACCAAAATATACCATAAATTGAAATGCTATGCACTCACCCCTTCACACATTAGATGCTCAGCTAAGCATATTCCTTCTCCAAGAAGCACTTTTAAAACAAACAGAAATAGCTACTATCACAATAAAAAAACAGCCTAGGCTAAGGAAAATGTGAAATAAATACAAGTTAAAGAACTCAGTTCTTGGAATAAATACCAGGATCAATTCTTTCTGCTTTATAGTATATAATATATATATCTATTGTAGACAGATATGAAATAATTTTATTCTGCTTCTCCTACTGAATATCTCAAAGACTGGACAACATCCATTTCCAGGCAAAGAAGACACTGATGGAGACAGTTATTCTTAGTCACTTTGGATAAGACAATTTAAGACTCCAAGTGAATCCCAATTCTCCTTTACAAAGGAAAAAATAAAACCAAAAACCTACATACACACAAATAAAAACACAACTGACACAGAATAAGGAACTACATTAAATATAAAGACACTGCCTTACTGTGCAAATTTGCTGAAGAAATAACCTTACTAAATCCCACCAACACATGTAGCAAGGCAGTTAAACCAGTAAATCCTCATCAATCTTTCCAATGATTAGCAGGATAAAAATCTCAGACAAGCATCAATTTTTGATGCATATAAAAAGGCACAAAGCCAAAGGAAAGTATCTCTAGTGCCTGCCAGATATATGGATGCTTATTGATAGGAACCAGGACAAAAACAAGGAAAGAACATTCATAGGAAACAGGCTGACTGTTTCAACAATTTGTCAAGAAGGACTATGAGTGAACAATAAACTCTTCAAAATTATTCTCTTTTAACTTTTATCTTAATTATCCTTTCCAAGGGAGACTGTTTTAAGCAGAACTTCCACATTCCTTTCTTTTTAGCAGGTCAAAAAAAGGTGATTCTTCCCCTCTACTCTGCTCTCGTGAGACTCCACCTGGAATACTGCACACAGTTCTGGTGTCCTCAGCATAAGAAGGACATGGAACTGTTGGAGCAAGTTCAGAGGAGGCCACCAAGTTGCTCAGAGCACTGGAGCATCTCCCTGTGAGGACAGGCTGAGGGAGTTGGGGCTGTTCAGCCTGGAGAAGAGAAGGTTGTGTGGAGACCTCAGAGCAACTTTTCAATATCTGAAGGAGCTACAAGGAGCTGGAGAGGGACTCTGTGTTAGGAACTGCAGTGACAGGACAAGGGGAAATGGGTTCAACCTGACGGAGGGGAAGTTTAGGTTGGATGTGAGAAAAAGTTTTTTTCCTCTAGGGGTGGTGAGACGCTGTCCCAGGTTGCCCAGGGAGGCTGTGGCTGCCCCAACCCTGGTGATGTTCAAGGCCAGGCGGGATGAGCCTTGAGCAACCTGATCTAGTGAGGAGGTGTCCCTGCCCAGGGCAGGGGTTGGGACTGGATGATCTCTAAGGTCCATGCCAACCCTTAAATTCTATGATTTTATGATGCTATCTAGTTCAATAGATTGGAATGACTCTGCCAATTGGCTCTGCCAATCCAATGTCAGTTGGCTCTGATCCATCCAGATTGATTGGACATTATGATCTCGAAGATCTCCTTGAACCTAAAAGTCTGTTGATACCTGACAAGCAATGGTGACTCTCCACATGAACTGAAGACAACAATTTAAAGCAGGTTTTCCCTATGGACCTACATCAGATTTCAGGCAGTTAATATCACAATGTTTTGCTGTACTTTATGTCTTCCTCCAATGAAAATTATGGCAACCTTTTTTTACCTTAAGCTCCTGCCAGAGCAAGCAATGGGAGACATGGTTCTTCAGTACACATCTCAAAGTTCCAATTCCTACATTGCCCTTGCTGCATAAGATAGGTTTTCAATTCAATGTTACATTTTAAGAGCTGATAAAAATCTCTGCTTAATTTCACTAGGTATTTCACCTGCTTTTGTGGCTTAGGAGAAGTTAGTGCAATGGATGATGAAGAATGTCTGGTTTTTAAGAATTATATTACAGAAAACAATTACATATGCCTACTGACTCCACAGTAGTCATCCCCAAGTCACTGCAAGGATAAAAATATATCCTCCAAAACACTGCCAGATTCATTTAAACCTCTTTTTTAATCACAGTGCAGTAAAACACAGCAGAACAAAATTCTGCATTATATCCACTACAGCAATAAACCAACTCACAATGTTAAACAATGAAAGATGGGGATAATGATCAACAAGCACAGCAGTAGGAGCAGCCAGAACGACAAGATTCAGGTTTCTACTTTTTATGAGAAGAAATATTTCACACTAGGCACTGACAAATTGCAGAGAGCATTCCTACACGGATAGGAAGTCAAATGGAAAAGCAGTGCCTTATTAATGAAAGTGCCAAGCAAAATATGCCTCACCTGAGATATTCCACTGGGAGGGATCTTGTATGACTGCAGCTTTTGCTTCAGCAGCTCAGGATCACTGTGGCGGAATGGGCACCCTGACAGTAAAAAAAAAAAGCAGCAAGCTCACAAACAAGGCTGTTTACTCAGGAGTTAGTGCAGTAAGGCACTCAAGAGAGCAGCTAAGCTGTTCCTAATTGTCTAACAGCTTATTAATAGGAAAGTTAATTACCCATGTGTACAAGTGCTTACTTTTTTTTTCTTTTCTTTAAATAATTACTCTGCTGCATGGTTATCAGGGTAGCACAGGCACCAAAGTTACATAAAATATCCCACCATAATCAGGCCACAATTCTCATTCACTGACAGGAAAAGAGTTTAAGTTCTTTCCTTACTAATAATGACAGTGTTGGTGCATTTAATAGCTGTGCAAAAAAACCTGGGAAAGTCAAGTAATGAGAGCCAACTGGTCTTTAGAGCACAGCCCTTTGTAAGACAATCACTTTATAAATACCTTAGAAAGTTCCACCACCTAAGAGTGGAATTTTATTATCCCAGAATTAGTTTTGAGACACAACTGAAGTTCTTTCCTTACTAATAATGACAGTGTTGGTGCATTTAATAGCTGTGCAAAAAAACCTGGGAAAGTCAAGTAATGAGAGCCAACTGGTCTTTAGAGCACAGCCCTTTGTAAGACAATCACTTTATAAATACCTTAGAAAGTTCCACCACCTAAGAGTGGAATTTTATTATCCCAGAATTAGTTTTGAGACACAACTGAATGAGATTCAGATTAGATGTTAGGAAAAATATTTGTGAGGGTGGGGTGTTCAGGCACTGGAAACAGTTGCCCAGGGAGGTGGTGAAGTCACCATCCCTGAAAGTGTTTCAGAGGTGTCTGATGTGGCACTGGAGGATCTGGTTTAGGGTTTAGAGGTTCCAGCAGTGACAGGTTAATGGTTGGACTCTATGATCCTAGAGGTCTCCTCCAACCTTGATGATTCTATAAATGACTTAGTACTAGTATAACAGTGGTGAAGCCAGTGCAGGTTTTTTACATGTCTAGTCACAGAGAGGTAGGAAGTTTTAAAGTACCCTAGCAAACTTCAGAATTCCTGTATGACTGAATTCATCTCTCAGAACACCCCCAAGTGGTATTTTCTTAAAGCATCTGTACATTTAAAGTCTCCTTGAACTGCATGACACAATGTATATGAAACCAAAAGTTATCAGTTCTCATCTAAAGAGAACAGTTCAAGACCATTATGGTCTTGAGATGAAAGACATCATTTAAGAGACTACAGGGAGAGGTAACTTCTCTAGCCAAGGAATTCTGCTGGTTTTAAATGTGGGTTTTTCCTCCTAAGGAACTCACCATGATAATCCCCTTGACCTGGTGGATTGGACATGATAATCTTCATGCAGCTGTAGGGGGTATAATCAGTTCTCCTCCCTTCTTTCCCGTAGCTGTGGCGAATGCTGTAAGCGTATCCTTTGTCAAACTACATGGAAACAAAACAACTCTTACATATTGTGCCAGTGACTCTCTGCCCTGCAAACAGAAATACTGAATAACAAAATGAATTTGCCAAACATACCTAAACTGATAAGAGTTAAAATCTAGTTGCTTGCTGCTAGTTTTTGGTTTACATTACATCACCTTCATATGAACATGTATGTGTTGTACAGACACATCACAAGAGAAGTGTGTAACTGCATTGATTTAAGGTCTTTTCAGCTGATGCTGTCATGGCTTTAAAGAGAAGATGCTTAAAAGCTCAAAATTTTGAACCCCACAATGTTTGTCAATGGAGAAAACACAGTAATTTTAAATCTTTCATAAATGTCCATAAATCAATTGCTTAATCAGGGAAAAAACCCACCAGGATTACAGATTTCTTTAGTCAGGTTCACACTCTTACTCTCCCAAAGTATAATGCTTCACCTATACTTTGCTTCAGCACTGAGGTTCAATTGATCAGATTCTAAAATGGAGTATACTTCGCGGGTACAAAAGAGATTTTCTCTTTTGTCTACTGATAGACTACCAACTCCTCCAATAAAGTGAAACCTTCTAAAGTAATACAGATATAATCAAACATTTATCTTGACAGCTGAGCATGGAGCTATCAATACATCATTTTAGATAAGTCCTGTGGAGAACACTCAATTACATGAGGTCATGTTATTTCTTTACCTGGCAATAGGTGACATAAAATCTCTAGAAGAATCAGATTACTTAAAATACAGATTTTACTAAGCTGCACCAGCTGCTATAGGACTTCAAGGAACATTTGCTCAAATACCATATTTCTAGTCCTTAAAAACACAAGTATGATAAAATAACCAAGCATCATATTTAGAATTACACATCCGCAGTCTCTCTTTACCTCCAAAATACTATGACAATACACAAAAGAACAACTCAGCTCTTGCTCAATTCCAAATCTTAGAATTAACCTTGAGTAAAGTTCTGCATCTGAACAGAGAAAACTCCCATCAGAATTTAAGTCTTCTTCTCAAAAAGCACTTTAAAATAATTTTTTGCTCTGGCTCTGGTATTTAACTAATCGAAAACAATGTAATATACTGAGTAAAAAACTGGTAGCAATACTACTGCAAGGATACTCTCAATTCTACAGATAAAAGTAGTTCCCTGTCTCATAGAATCATAGAATTTAGGGGTTGGAATGGACCTTACAGATCATCTAGTCCCAACCCCTGCCCTGGGCAGAGACACCTCCTCACTAGATCAGGCTCATCCAGCCTGGCCTTGAACACTACCAGGGTTGGGGCAGCCACAGCCTCCCTGGGCAACCTGTTCCAATATTTGGCCTGTGGATGTCCAAATAGTAATTCAGAATATTCACATACCTATCAAATACCTTGACTGGCTAAAATATGTCAAAAATGAAATAGAAACCTAAATGTGTTTTTTCTTCAGATAAAACACTTATCTTTTTGGAAATATATATATATACACACACACTTGTAAAACTGTAACATAATATGTAAATACACAACAAATGTGTATAAAAATATACACAAGCATTGAGAATAAAATCCTGAATTGCACCTGATTCAAACAGTGAAAAAGAAATTTCTCTATCAAGATGCTGGACATAATCAAGTCAAAGCATAAAGAAGACTAATATTCAGCACTCATCCCAAACGAGGCTTAAGACATCCAAAGCTCTGAACAAACATTGACTAATTAATCCTCACTGTGCATTTGACAAAGTGACTTTACTCTACTTTAAAAGATTTTTTTTAAAGTGGGAAGGGGAAGAAAAGAAAGAGAGAAAAGAGCATTATGTTTTCCAGCATGTAGGAATACTCATAGAATAGAATCATCAAGGTTGGATGAGTCCGATCATCAAGTCAAGTCCAACCATTAACCTGTCACTGCTGGAACCCTTAAACCAGATCCTCCAGTGCCAGATCCAGATGCCTCTTAAACACAGTCAACCTTTTAGTTCAGAAGAGAAAAGAACTTGTTGGTAGAACAGTAAATTCACACTAATTGTGATAGCAACAGAGCTGGGCTTACCAACTCTTCATTACAAAGAAGAGTAAAAACATAAGAGTATCTGCTCCAGGTGTGTGCAGGTACATGCAAGGGCCAGGAAAACAGCTCCCTCCCCTGTGGAGGTGGCCAAGTCCTGCTGCTGCTCCTGTGGGAGCTGCAAATGATCTGTTTACTCCTGAACAACAGCAGACATCAAATACAAAGGTGTGTGTATTTTAATTTCCAGCCTCTGCGTGAACCTGTTGAACTGAAGATGGAATCTGTGAGCCTGTATCCACTTATTCTTCCACCCAGAAGCTCTGGAATCTTCCCTCCTTTTGAAATGATGAAGGAAAGCACATTTTGTTTGCTTTAAAAAACCAAAAGATATTTGAGCAGGCAATTAAATTAGCCTAAACTATTTTTTTCCAAGGGAAAAGCAAATCTTGAATGTTTCAGGATGTATTGCTTAGTTTCTCAGAAAATTAACACCCCTCTTTAACAGTTCTGTACACTCAAATCCTGAGCTGTGCTTTGCACATCACTTGCCTTAATGCCCACAGAAATTACTTTTACTACCTAACTCATTATGCTGAGAAGCAGCTCTTGCAGTAAATAGAAACAACAGCCACATAATAGCACCACATGGCCCTGGTACAGGTTGGGTATTTTCTCACTGCTCTCTTTTAATCCTGTTTGGTTCCCAAGAGTTTTTGCAGTGGCAGATGGCAGAGAATGACACAGCTACATGGTGCAAGTTGGCACACACACAGTTACAAGCTTCACTAAGAGCTCTCTCATCCCTGTGATTCAGCTTCTCATTGATCAAGGAAACAGGATTTGAGTAGGGCAAATATCTGACAGGCTGCGTGGTCATCCTCAGCTGGGAGAAACCATGAATTGTGGCATCTCATTTCAGAAAACACATCCTGCAGAACAGCCCTCTCTGTGCCCTGGGGAGTGAGCTCAGGGAGCAGCCTTATTCTTTCCTAATACCCTTACTCTAGCCTAAATTTCCCCTCTTTCAAAAGATACATTTCTAAAAGAGATAGATAGATAGATTAGACAGATTAGACAGATAGATTAGATAGATTAGATAGATAGATAGCTAGATAGATCGATAGATCGATAGATATCTAAAAGCTATAAATTAGCAACTGGTATAGGCCAAAACCAGATTACCATGTTCCAGATAGGAACTTAAGGAAAGGCTATTTCCAGTAAGTTCTGATCACATAAATGCATATGAGATCTTTAGATACAGAATGAGGATGTACATCAAACAGACCAGGAAAAGTGTTTACTGAACACAGCAGGAAAGGGTGGGTCATGTGTGCCTCACAATTATCAAATTGGTACAACTGAGTACACTTTCAGTGGAACAGGCTGATGGTTGGACTTGATGATCTTAGAGGTCTCCTCCAACCTTGATGATTCTATGATTCTAGGCTTCCCTGCCACTGAAGAATGAGCATCATGTCATCACTAACACTTGCCCTCCCTCCCTCATTTGTCATATTTGCAGATTACTACCTGGAAATAGAACCAGGTGCTCCATAAATTTTGTTCTCACATGGTGGCTGCCCCAACCCTGGCAGTGTTCACAGCCAGGCTGGATGAGCCTTGAGCAACCTGCTCTGGTGGGAGGTGTCCCTGCCCAGGGCAGGGGTTGGGACTGGATGATCTGTAAGGCCCATTCCAGCCCCTAAATTCTATGATTCTATATTCAGCATGTGCATTAGGATGGAAATTAATTTGCTGACAGGTCTTCCAAGCCCTGTGTGCTCAGGTTCACACTGCCACAAAACCTTCATGTTTCAGTTCAAATTACTTTTATAGACTCATGCAAGTTTTTATGCATCTATTCCTTCACATACTGGGAGATTTATTTATTTAAAGTCTAACAACTAAGCAAAATCACTGCCCTAATTTTGTCTAGCTTCTTGGCTGACCACCAGATTAGTTCCAGCTCTGCAAAATTCAAAGTAATGGTTTAACACCTCTTTTTTTTTTTTAAACAGTCATTGGGCAATTTCCTGTCTAAAATTGTTGGGCCTGTATGGATACCAGCTTCAAATTCATAAATTTATCGCACACAGTTGTACATCTTCTGAAATAATTGGTTCACTTTTTCATCCATTTCCTAGGCAGTTGCTCAAATCATTACTGTTGACACTGCTTACTTGGCACATCTTTAACCAAGCAACTTTTTATAAGCTCATTCTTAAAATAACCTCAAGATTATCTTTTCCCAAGCACAGTTGCCATTTAGGAGCACAAATAAATGCCTCTCTATTTAGCCAACAACAAAAAGTGTCAATTTATCCTAAATTATCAACCTATAGCATGATTTCTACCATAAAGGTATAGATCAGACATCAGCTAAAATTGAGCTGGAAAACTGCTGTGTTGTGTGGCAGTCAGCACAGACCAATTCACAGCAAGTACAAAACACTTCCTCTCCAATTTCAGGATTTCCAAACAGCATGAGGCAAGTACCACTTTGCCCTGGAGACAGTTTCATCTACCACAAGGAAATCAGCAAACTTTTTATGCTGCCCACATGAGCATAAACTGCGTGGCTGATGAACTAGCAAAGATATGACACTGTAGGCTTTTATTTACAGTAGTCTAAGCTTGTCTTAATATAACTGAGCTAAATATACAATTTGTGTAGACAATTTCTTCACACATTTCCATGCACCAAGACTTTGAACCAGGAGAAGTATAAAATAAACCACAGCAGGCTGACTTCTGCCTTAAGACACTGCATCAGATTATCAGCACAACACATCTTAAAGCCATCTCCTATAGCAACAGGATTTTTCTTGGGCACCTACAAAAGATTTTATTTGTTACTTCAAGCCATTGCAACATTTCTCTCTGCATCTAAACTATTGTGCTGGTTTCAGTTGGGATAGAGTTAACTTTCTTTCTAGGAGCTGGCACAGTGCTGTGGTTTGGATTTAGCATGAGAATAACGTTGCTAACAGA